GGATGATTCGAAGGCAGAGCTTTTTCTAGTATGTTATGTGATTTTTCATAAAGTTCAAGTGCTTTCGAGTAGTCACCCATGTTATTATACACTTGACCGATGTTGTTGTATGAAGTAGCCAATGAGGGAGGATTCGAAGGCAGAGCTTTTTTTGTGATTTTTAGATCTTTTTCGGAATATTGAAGTGCTTTTGAGTAGTCACCTATACTGTTGTACACTCCACCGATGTTGTTGTACGAAGTAGCCAATGAGGGATGATTCGACGGCAGAGCTTTTTCGAAGATTTGATGTGATTTTTCGTAAAATGCAAGTGCTTTCGAGTAGTCACCCATGTCGCTGTACAATCCGCCAATGCTGTTGTATGAACCGCCCAGTGCAGGATGATTCGGAGGGTGGGCTATTTTAGCTATTTGATGTGCTTTCGAATAGTCACCCATATTATTATACACTTGACCGATGTTGTCGAACGAAATGGCCAAATCTGGATGATTCGAAGGCGGAGCTTTTTCGTAGATTTTATGTGATTTTTCGTAAAATTCAAGTGCTTTCGAGTAGTCACCCGTGTCGCTGTACCTTCGACCGATGTTGTTATATGAAGTAGCCAATGAGGGATGATCCGAAGGCAGAGCTTTTTTTCGTATTTCAAGTGATTTTTCGTAAAATTCAAGTGCTTTCGAGTAGTCACCGATGCTGTTTTGCGCTGCAGCGATCGAGGTGTAGGATTCGGCCAAATCGGAATGTGTCGGAGGCAGACTATTTTCCCTTATTTTAAGTGCTCTTTCGAAATATTCAACTGCTGTCGAATAATTTCCCATGAGACTATGCCCTACACCGATATTATTGTAGATTTCAGCCAACGTTGGGTGATTTTTCGGTAGAGTTTTGTGATAGGTCGCGAGAGCGGTTTTCGAAAGTGAAATTGCTTCTTGATATTGTCCTTGATCATATCTCACCTCTCCAAGCATATTATAGATAGGTGCTCGGTCACTATCATCCGATGCCTGTTCTAGTAGTGCCATATACAATTCTTCGGCCTTGTCGAATTGACCTATTTTGAGCAGCAATTGCCCCAGTCGATACCATCCGGTGCCGCTGACCTCTTTTCGTATAAAGTCAGCTAATTCACGAAGTTGTGGATCATCATCTGAGGTAAGTTTTAGATCCACCTGATAAAGTGCACGATCGTTGTCAATTTTTCGAATTTCATCAATTCGAAACACGGTGTGCATGGAAAAGAGCATTTCCTCTTCTTGGACGAAATCACTCAGCGTTTGGATGGAGGCAAAAGGAGTGGATGAGACAATGGGATCGATGGTCATCTGGAAAAGGATACCGACTTTATCGGTTGTTTCTAAGGCGCTTTCAGCGAAGAAAAACGATACATCTCGATTTGTACTGGTGGATAGAAAGTTATTGAATGATATAAGTCCACCTGTTTTTTTAGCAAGTTCTTCGAAATCTGCTTTCGGGAATCCCTGTCCCCGAAAGACTAGAATGGGCTGTGCATGATCTCGATTGACTTGTTTGTTGTATAACTCTTCGATTTGTCGGTGTACATCACGTAGAAAAAACCCCATTTTGATGAGTATGCCGCCATCTAATGTTCGTAATGCTAGATTGAGCATTTGGTACGTGAAAGTTTGGCGTGTGTACCACCAGATGGCGTTCGATGAATGGTAAGTGCGTTGAAATTCATCAATACTTTTTAGTGCGTGGATGTTGACCTGGTATTCTTGTTGCCAAAAAGTGACCAAGGTTTTGATGGCTTCTTGACCATGTTCGATATTCAGGAGGATCTCCTTGAATATTTGTGAGTACATGAAGGAGGGTTCTAGCTGATTGAGATTTTCGGTAGAACCTCCTTCATGCACATCGATAATACTAATTGACATACTATCTTTATCGCATCGTTTGACAACCAGTTGCAATGCTTCACATATTGGTTGGATGGATGTATGGATACCTTTGATTTTTGTCCAAGTTTTTGTCCATATTTCATGCTCTTGTTTGTTGTCACAAAATATGTATATGGCATTTAATTTTGCCATGCCATGGATACTTGGTACCATATGTTGTCCAAGTGCACCTGAGGAGATAACAAATGATATCTCTTCAGGATTTTCATTCAGCTGTTGAACACATTCTTCAGCTGTCGTATAAGGTATGACTTGATTTACAACACCGCGCAATTGCGCAAGTGTATTGTGGCAATCTTTATTGGTCATATCCATATTTTCATCAACCCAAATAACCATGTAGTTTTCCGGAAGGCGTCGTCTTGGTTGTTGACTCATTTTTGATGTGATATTTCGTGTGTGATAGGTAGTTGCGTGTCGTAAATAATAAATGGCTGTTTGAACAAAGTTTACCTTTTGTATTTATACGGTGTAGGCAATTCAAACTTTCAGTAAAATTTTTTTTTCTGCGTTTTTTACACTATTTGATAGAGCTTGAGCTGCTGATCACGAAAAACTACTTTTTAGCCTTAGTAAATACTTCCTTCCGGTCGAAAAATACAAAATACTCGAAAGGTGTCATTTTTGGAAGAAACACATCGTTTCTCAAAATGTGCAAAATTTTCTACTTTATTTTTTTCTTTTGCTTCTGAAAATAATTTTTTCAGATTCAGCATCAAAAACTGGATAGGAAAAAATTCTAAAACCGACTCCAGACCCCAAACTCTATTGGTGGTGACACTTCGAATCGCGTCGAGTGAAATGCGTATAGGTCGATTTTGTAAACCTATCTAGTTTTTCTACGTATGTGATAGAGTCAAATACTTTATCTCATTCTATTCATCATACCACCCCTTATCATACAACGGATCATATTTTTCTTTTTCCTTTCCTATGTTGAGAAAAATTGCTTTTACTGGTACCACAGCCATTTTAGACGGTATTTGACGACTATCGAATTCAAAAAAGACTTTTTATCAAAAAATAAATACAGATTCTGAATCAGTACAAAAAACTGATTCAAATGAAGTATTTTTCAAGTTAATTTAACAACTTTCAATT